TGCTAAGGTTAACGAAGCATGAGTAAAAGGATGTTGATAAAATCAACAGTTACTTGCAGCAAGGAAAGACAAACTATTAGAAATAAATCTTTCATTAGCGTTAGGCTTTTAAATTAAAAGTATAATTTACTACTTCCCTTTAGGGGCATTTAAAAAACAGGATCAAGTTGAGGCCAAGGTGTTATGTTGCTACCATGGCCTGGTTGGACAGTACATGGAAAACACCGAGCATCTGGGGGACGAGACAAGAAATTTGCTCTTCTAGTCTCCCACTGGCCTGCTGATCTCTCTGATCACTACTGGAAAGAAAATGGACCAGGGGTCGCTGAAGCTCATGCAACCAATGTCTGTGAGAGATCGGGAACCAGTCTACCCCATCCCCAACTCTGGATTCTGTATCTAAATTTCTGTTAAGATGCTCTTTCTCTGTCCACGCATGAGATTACACTGAAGCTAGGGCAAGGGGAATTCTCAGCCTGAGAGAGACCACAGAAATGAATTGGCATGTCTGAATCTTGCTAATAAAGGAGGCTTTTGGACTTTTTCTTTGGGCTAAACAAGCAGGTCTTCCTTTTAATCCTATTTTTAATGTCCTCATGTATCGTTCTCTATAGGTCCTTTAGAAACCAAACAGGAAGCTACTGTACTTGAAAAAGTGGGTTTAAAAAAAGTGGGTTGAATGATAAATCAAAAATCTGTTTCCATGTAGTACATTCAATGACAGTGCAATCAGCTCAACACGAACAGGAAAACTTGCCAAGGCTGAGGGTGTAGGGAGGGATTATAGACCTCAATCACCTCGGGGGCCTCAATGCTAGGTATCTACAACATGTAGATGATCTGGATTCTTCGAATCATTCTTTACATGCTTTCTGGGTCCCCTTCGGACTCACACCTCATTTCAAAGTTTCAGATATTTGTTAGGTTTTAAACACCAGAGGGTACAAAGTAGATCTGGAGACTGAACATGAGATAGATTTGCAAAAAGTGGGACAGGATGGTGAGATTTTCCTGGCTGGAGAGTAAAAATACCTATGATGCCAGTTTTTATATGTGACACATTCATTTCCTGTGGACCCAAAAGAGAAAGTTGACACTGCTTACTCGAGGGAATCGACGCCGCCTGCCAACATGTGCAGGTGGTTCAGCGTTGTGATTGAGGTGGTCAGGTGGCGTTTGGCATGATCTAACTGCTTAATATCACGGGTGATTTCTTTAACCTAAATATTGAAAACCACAGGAGAAAAAGGAGGAAGGTTAAGAAAGATGTAAACCCATTTACAAGTAGCTCCACAAGAAAATAACGCAAGTGAAGCGAGGAAAAAAAGCCTCGGGTTAGCCCTTGAAGAAGACAGGCTTTCTCACAATATACAATCAAAATAATTTCCAATCAGTTCATTTAAATTTAATTTGTCATTTCTTCAGCATTTTACCCGGGGTTACAAAATCCTTAGTTGTGAAAATGAAATGAACTTTGTTTTTCACCCTAAATGGAGTGATCCAAATAGCAATTTAGTATGGAGCATACTGGGTCCAAGAGCCAAGTACAGGGTACCTCCTCTTGAACAAGGTCAGAAAAGTATGCCTCTGACACTGGAACTACTAGGTTCAGCACAGAATGTCTGGTATTAGTTGATGAATTCTATTGAGATGATCTTTATTCATGGAACTAAGGTTTATTGCCCGGTCTCCAGCAAAGAAAGACTTTCTCTCAAATTTCAAGAAGATTAAAATGTAACCCCTGTAACATAAGCTTAACACATAATGTCAGAAGAGGAGAGGCGCAGTGTTCAGGGAGTGAGAAGGAAATCCGAGGAGCAAAATTCCAACAGTGTTGATCTGGAAGGTCCAAGAGGAAGGAACTCTGTGTCTGGGTATACAAGCATATTTCAGTCACTTTAAAAGTGCACTCGGTAGTGAAGTGGGAACAATTCTCCAACTTCACTAACTCCTACAGGACGTCTTCCACTAACTGCCTGAGTCCACGTTGACCAAGAAATTTTCTGAAGAGCAACTGAGTCTCCCATGTTCTTTTATACCTAGAAGGGAGGGAGTACCCTGGATACCAGGCACAAATATTCTAGTCACTGGAAAATGAAAAGTCAATCGTGAGTTAACTTCATGCAACCTCATTTTTAGTTTGACCACCCTACATGAACTCATAAAGTAAAGATTATGACCTACACAGCTCAGTTCCACACCCACAAACTTTCAAGGTTTTTTGCAACTAAAAAAAGTAGGGGAAAAAATGACATCAATAATGGTTTCCACTCATAGAGCAACTAACACAAGCCTAGTACTCAGTGCTCTTTATACATTTAATTCTTACAACCCTTTGAGCGAGACATTATTATTTACAATTGAAGAAACTGGAATTCAGAGATGTTATATTATATAGTCAGAATCTGAGCCCAAGAGCTGGCATTTCACAGTGCCTCCTGCAGAGTACGAGTGGGTGAGGCTGGATTCTTGGTCAGCGGCGGGGCCTTCAGTGTACATCACCCGAGGACACAGATTTGTAGAGGGAGAACTTAATCAAAACCATAAGCATGTATCATAGGCTGGATACATCCTGCCTCCTAGATCCAGTACCGGTTTTCATGCAACGTATCGTATATCTTAATAATGCCTTGTAATTATTGAGCAACTAACACAAGCCTAGTACTATGCGTGATACAAAATATGCAATGTAAACAAATGCTAGAGAAAGAAATCCAAAAGGACTAGGAAACTATTTGGGGGAAAGGAGAAAAAGAAAACTTTTTGTATTTAAATACATGGCTGCAAATGTAGGGCAACAGGGATAGTGAGTCACTGCATCTCTAGCAGCTCCTCCTGAGTTGATGTAGAATGTACTCCCAGGGCTAGCTTTAGAGACGTGGATATTGTGGTTAGCAGCAAGTGGGAGTAAAAGCCCATTAATGAGTACGACTGGATGAGATGCTAACTTCCTCTTTTGGTACAAAAAAGTTAGGAAGAAACCTAAACTCACCATTTGCTCTGATTTTTCTGCTTTGTCTTTGATATCTTTGATTTTGCCGAAGAGTTGCTGAATTGCTTTCTGGGCCTCTTCAAGCGCCTAGAATAAGAGAAATAAATGAAAAACAAGACAGCACCAGTCCCTACACTGTAATCAAGTCCAGCCTCAGAAGAAAATTAATAAAGCTCTCTTGATTCATTGCACTTATGCTGACAATTTTACTGGACCAAAGTAGTAGAGATACAGTCCAGCACTTGGATAAAGGCAAATACTCAGGATTCTTGCCAATATACATCATAAAGTTTTAATTTAAAAACCAAACTATTTCTATCTCAGTGATTACTACACGTATTGATGACAACAAATAAACAGGACATGCACATCTGTGCATGTGTGTGCGAGTGCGTGCGTGCATGCACATGTGTGCAGTAACCTTCAAAACCTGTAGAAAGACAGAGGTGTCTCTAAGCTAGAGTAGGAAGAGCTCTAAATTTTGGAAGTTCCAGAAGACTGTGCCTTCAAAAAAATCACAGCTGTGCATAGGGACTCCAGAACTGTGGCAAACCGTAGAGATGTTTAAAGTGCCCCATTTGGAAACCAAAAAAATGAAGTTAGAAAGGGACACTTAAAGCTAATGGTGAGCCGAATGTTTCCACTAAAATGAAAATCTACAAAGATAGATGCCACGCATTAAAAGTATTACAACCCACGGTAGCTTCTGCAAGTAGGGGAAGCAATATTCAGAGATTTGTGAGGGCGCAAAAGCCACACACGTGTAGAGCATATGCACTTATAAAAGATGCAGCAGCCAAATGAGAACTCATGCTTCATTTCATCAAAAGCACTTTATTTACTTTGGATTTAAGAGTGGCCTGTCCTAAGTGGGCCTCACAAGCCCTTTATAAATGTAATGATAAGGCTAATGTAACCCTAGAGCTGTGTGTGGCCATCTTTGCCTGCCCAGAAAAATAGCTAGCCTCCCTGAGAAGGATGCCGTCACCGAGGAGAGAGGAGGCGATGCTGAGATGAAGGGAGAATGACAAAGCCCTGATGGAATTATCTGAACCTCTGCAATCAGCTGTACCCAATGGAAGTGCTACCTCTAGACTACAAACTCATACATCTTTTTTGCTTAAAAAAAATCCACAAAGAGCAAACTTAAGTTGGCGTCCTCTGCAGGAAATTCCTTCCTTGTTAGATGTAGGGTTATATCTCCCTTTCCCTCCCAGGTTTCCCAAGCTGTTCACTTCTTCTGATATGTGGAATTCTTTCTTATTCTGGAACTCCCTGCCCTATGTGTGGCTGAATTCCAAACACGGCTCTTTTGATCATTTTCCACCTCTGCAATTTATAGGAGTTTCGCATGTGGCAACAAGGATGCTAAGCTGTTGCATGTGACTATGTTATGGCTTCTGCAATGAATGTCCAGAAGCTCCTCTGAGAAGTCGTTCCTTAGCCCGTTTGTTGCCAAGTCTGAGGTGACACTATTCAAGCAGCTGCTCACACCACCTCCTGCGGCAGTGTGCGTTTGCTCTGCTGGATCACTTATATCTACAAAGGTTTGTGTGCAAAGGAGCTTTATACTTGTAATTTCTGCCAACAGGACACAGATATTTCACTCATCGAAAAGTTTGGTCTTGGAACAACAGTTGGCAATGCTACCAGAGACACAAAGTCATACCTTGGGAATTTTTACCTGAAGAGTAAGAAAAGGGGCAATGGAATGGAATTGTGTCACACTGAACAGCTCTTCTCAATCCCATTCCACCCCAAAAGGATCCTCACTTAGCAACTGTTTCCACTCAGCTTCCCGCCATCCTGTCTTTCTCATTCCAGGACTTAGCATGCCTGTAACAGCTGTGGTGTCATAAGAAAACCGTCCATTTTCTAGCAGAAAGGCAGGAGTTTGAGGCCTGCCTCCACTGTCACATACTAGCTTACCTCTCTGGGTATCAGTTTCCTTATCTGAAAAGTGGGGATGATGGCACCTACTTACAGAGTTGTTGAGAAGATTTAATGACATAATAAGTATAAAAAGCTGCACGAATATTAGGTTTGTTTCCAGGACTTATGGCCAACCTTAGCAAATGCGTGCATGCATATATGTATAAATAAATATATACATGTATAATGTCTCTTCTGACAATACTTTTCCCTCTGATATACAACCTCTAGGCCTGTTTACTATTAGCCACTCCCTGAATGAATCCATACCCAGTCATTCCACCTCCTCACTCCTTCCTCAACATCCCTAATCATCAGGAAAATGCAAATTAAAACCACAATGAGCTATCACTCCTCAATGAGCTATTCTCATACCTGTGAGAATGGCTATTATCAAAAGACAACAAAGAGTTAGTGTTAGTAGGGATGTGGAGAAAAGGGAACTCTTGTGCACTATTGGTGGGACTGTAAACTGGTGCAGACACTAGGGAAAACAATAAGGAAGTTCTTCAAAAAATTAAAAATAGAACTACCATATGACTCAGCAATTCTACTTCTGGGTTTCTATCCAAAGAAACCTGAAACATTAATTTGAAAAGATATATACATCCCTATGTTCACTGTAACATTATTTACAACAGCTAAGATATGGAAGCAAGGTGTCCATATGTGTCTATCGACAGCTAAATGGATAAAGAAGATGTGATACATATATACAATGGAGTATTACTCAGCTATAAAAAAGGATAAAATCTTGCCATTTGCGACATGAATGGACCTAGAGGGTATTACGTTAAGTGAAATAAGTCAGAGAGAGAAAGACAAATACCATATGATTTCACTTATATACAGAATCTAAAACAAACAAACAAAACAAAATAGAAACAGACTCATAGATACAGAACAAACTGATGGCTGCCAGAGGGGAGGGAGATGGGGGAATGGATCAAAAAGTTGAAGCAGATTAAGGAGTACAAACTGCCAGTTATAAAATAAGTCACAGCAATATAATGTAAACATAAGGAATATAGTCAATAATACCATAATAACTATATACAGTGAGAGATAGGTACTAGATCACTTCATAAAATATATAAATGTCTAATCATTATGTTGTACACCTGAAATTAATATAATATTGTATGATGACTATAATTAAATTTTAAAAATTCTTTCACATTTTTAATAATCACCTCAAAATCAGGATACAAAATTCTTTTGAGCATTGCTTACTGCTCTACCACACAACCTTAGATTTCGTAAGATTTTGACAAACCAAAATCAAGTTCTAACAAAATAAAAATGTTAAGGAATAAGTTATCGGATATAAATTTATAACCAAAAGGAGTAAACTTTCAAAATAAAATGCTCAACACAGCTACTGATCGTGTGCAAATCTTTGCTGTCTCTCATTTCTTCAAGTGCCATTTCTTCTCCATCCTTTCTTTCACCTGACTTCCTCTTCCCTTCCAACACCCGCTCCCATAACATACACGAAGCACACAGTAGAATCAATTTGTTTATCATCTTGGTGCCTATGGTCCTTTATGTAACCTTAACGTTTGTAATAATTTTTGTGGGTCTACCTTTTGGTTGGACTACGTGATCCTAGAGGGCAGGAATATGTCTCACTCATTGTGACTCCCTGATACCTAGGGAGGTCCAGAATAATATGGTAGGTGTCCAATATATGTTTAGTAAGTTGAATTTACAACCAATCAATCGCAGTATACACAAACACAGATACAAACTCCATCTTTGTTCTCAGGGATAGTCAGTCAGGTAACACATTAGCCATAGTAGTTAGGGCTGTGTCATTGCAACTGCAGACCTTCGACATAATTCAGTTTTGTAATCTTCACATATTGAAAAAAATAGTGGGTTAATTAACCTAGGAAATTAGACATGAAAAAAATTTTAACTTGCCATGCTATCAAATTTTATAAAGTCGTACTATAATAACAAATTATTATAAATTATTATTTTTTATATATGTGTATTTGTTCAGAAGAACTTCATCTACCTCAGAAGGCTTCTGTATATTCCCTCTCCTGTCCATTTAAGAAAGATACTTTTCAATGATGGCCTCTTAAGAACCTATTTTTTAAAGATTATTTCAGATATTTCAGATATTTTTAAACATTAGATTACAGATTTTCCTTCTGAGACAATTGCGAAATCATTTTTCCTTTTGGCTATGTTCCTCAAGAACTAGAATCAATTTTGATATCTACTAATTAACAAACACTACACTGAAGATGCATGGGTAAAAATCATTAATTCCTGCTCTCAAGGAGTTTATAATCTAGAAAGGCAAGAAGATAGGCTAATAAACATTGAGCTCTGATAAAGACATGTACAGAGTGCTGTGTGAGCCCAGAGAGCCATCACAGATACTGGCTTGTTTTGGTAGGAACAGAGAAGGAAGGGAGGTCCAGGAAGTCTTCCTGAAGGAGGTTACAACTTCACGATGTATTACTTGGGCCAGAGTATTTTAAAATAACAGCTATTAAGAGTAGCATGTAGTAAATAAAATGCTATTTTTCAAATCCGTACTCTATCATAAACAAATTCTCTCTTTCCAGCAACAGACCTTTGCTCTCTTGTAACTGAAGACTACCTATATCTGCATGGTTACTCTGATTTCCTGTGGCAGTTATAGCTCTAACTACATTAGTCAGTATTTCATTAACTCACTCCTTTAATCATCAAACATATATTTATTGAATATCTTCCATGTACCAGGCATTATTCTAAGCACTGGGAATCCAATGGTAGACAAGACAGACATGGTCCCTCTCCCTGTCTTCTAAGAATTCACTTTGAGAAGTGGCAGGTGGGGGAATATTGGAAAAACAATAACAAAGAAGAAAATTTAAGAGTATCACAGGTGCGATGAAGGAATTAAGCAGTGAGATGAGACTAAGGGGAACAGTGGTCATAAAAGGTCTCTGAGAAAGAGCAAATGAACTGAGATCCGTAGGATGAGAAAGAGAATTTGTGGATCTGGAATAAGAGAATTCAAAGTGGAGAGAACAGCAAATAAAAGACTCTTATACAGAAAAGACTTTAGGTTTTGAAGGACCGAAAAGTAAGGCAGTAGATGGCAGGGTCATATTGGACTGGGAAATGTTAAGAAATAATTTGGAATAGGC